AATTAGGTCCTTACTCCATGCCTTTGAACAGATTGTCCTCCATGCCTATAATCTAGTCCTACCTCCACCTCTAAAAATCTGGAGTTCTTTTCAAAACTTAACTCCAGTTAAGCTACCACTTATTTGAGGCCTTCCTTGAACTCTCTAGTCATCCAATAAAAGTATTCTATGTATTTTTAATTTACTTATAGATATATGCATTGTTTCCCCTGATAAAAAGCTCCTTGATGGCAGAAACTGAAACAGTCTTCTTTGCATCCCCAGCAGCTAGCACAATGTCACAGAGCAGGTGCTTAACATATGCCCATTATTGGTGTTGGTGAAGTCAGGCATACAATTCTAATCATATTCCTTCTTGCTAAGATCCAAGTCTCCCTCCATAGATAAAACTTATCTATCCTAATTACATACCTTTGGCCCAATGGTCTAACCAGGGAAGATCTTTTTGGATTCTAATCATCATCAGACATGTTAAATATCTTTTTTTCTTTGTCATTTTCAAATTTCATAAGCATGACATCTATGCCTTTATCTAACCAAATGATTTTTAAAAAATATTAAAAAACAAAGAGCCAAAGACAAATCTGAGACACTCCACTAGGCTCTTTCTTCCAAGGTTACAATGAATTATTAATGACCACCTCGACCACCCCTTAACCTGTTTGATCACAGCCTATCAGCGAACAATGTCCCTGAAGCTCTTCCCTCTCAATGATAAGAATAAATTATTTGGGGCAAACAGGGTTAAGTGACTCCTTGGGTCCAACCTTTCAATCAGTTTGAAATCTGCATCTCTTTATCTTGTCCACAAAAACAGTATGAAAAATTTCATCAAATGCTTTTCAGACACTCTTTATAAGAATAACCTATCTCTCCAGGTTAATTTCCCATGCAGAATTTTATTCAAAGGGGTTTTACTACCTGTCCTTTCTCCAAAAGCCTTTGAAATACAGTCTCAAAAATTTTTAGTATGTGCTAAATTATCTCTAGCTTATGAGTCTGCTCTTCTATTACAAATGCTAAAATGAAGTTACCACTTTTCACGGAAAGTTCCTGTCAGTTTCTACGTAAGCAAGATTATTTCTTACTAGGAAGAATCAGATGCTGAAGTTTCCTTCACTGCCTCCTCCATTTTGAAGGATAAATTATAATTAAACAAGTAATTCTTAGGTACTGTTACACAGCAGACATTCAAGAAACTGTATTTCATCATCACTACTATCATCATGCCTTCACCTCAGACATGTGAACTATTTCTAAACTTGTCTTCTACATCTTTCCTTCTACCTAGGTCTTATATTCTAATGATATAATTATTATTACCTTTCAAATATTACACTTCACGTCTATTTGTTTCTATTGAACATGCTTCCTGTTTCCTCAGACAAGTATATTATACTTAACATATAACTTATTCCACTCCTCACCTTGCTCCTTTTTCCTTTTTTAACTTACTCTATTCCTTTAATTAAGACTACTCCTCCAGAATCATAGTTCTACGGCATCAACATAGTCAAATAAATTCCGTGGTCTCTTTCACCTGGCTTATTACTCATTTTTTGTAAATTTATATATACAGCTGAGGCAATAAGTCTCATTACTGGCTCATTTTTTGGATTGATTTTTTTTCCCCTACTGTCAATTTTTCCTGCTATTTTTCTTTAGACAATGAAGTTTGTCTCTACAGTATCTAGTGTGATAGATACACATAGGCAATTTTTACCTTCCATTGCAATTACAGCCCTTTAAATTAGATTTTTAAAACTTCAGACAAATACACTTTTACCAAACTTTGTTAGGTATACTCTGTCCTCATCCAAGAACCTGTCATTACTCTATTTTAAGTCAATGTCCAAAGATCTAAAACCTCTTCTTAGAGAAGACCTTCTAACAAGCTATTCACTTCCAAATTATGCCTTTCTTCTGAAGCCCCTGCCATCAAACAACAGCAGAGACAGAAACACTACCTGGCCTCCTAAAATCTTCAGTTTCTTACCCTAGTCTAACAGCTAGCTGACATAATGGGTAGAGGGCTGGGTCTAGAGTCAGGTTCAAATATGGCCTCAAAAACTTACTCGATGCATGACTCTGGGCAAGCTGGCCTCAGTTTCCCCAAATGGAAAATGGAAATTAAAGTAACACTCACCTCCTAGGGTTATTGTGAGGATCAAATAAGATATTTATAAAGCACTAAATATAGTTCCTGGCACACATTAGAGGCACTTAAATGCTTGTTCTCTTGCTCCCTTCATAACCTATAGAAATGCTTTCTGAATTCTTTTTGGCAGTACTATTTGTGTCCATATGAAAACATCACAGGTACACAGAAATCAGCTCTGCCACACACTACCTGTGTAATCTTGGACAAGTCATTTGAACTCTCAGTACCTCAGTTTCCTAATCTGTAGTAGGAAAAGTATATGACTGGACTGCTTCTAATGTCACTTCTAGCTCTGATTATATGAAATCATAAGCAAAGTCTGGACTGTGAAGTTGTTAAGGTTTTTTTCTGACTGAAATGTGATTTTAAAAATCAACAAACTGTCAGAGTTGCTTTCATCATGCACCCAAGACACTAAGACAAGAATAAGCAAGCAGGAGGCAGCTAGGTGGAGCAGTGGATACAGCACTGGCCCTGGAGTCAGGAGGACCTGAGTTCAAATTTGACCTCAGACACATAACACTTACTCGCTATGTGACTCTGAGCAAGTCACTTAACCCCATTGCCTAGCCCCCCCCCCAAAAAAAGAACAAGCAAGCAGACCCCCATGAAAACAGGCAAAATTCAAGCATACAAAGCAACAGAAAAATTCTATAAAGATAATGAAAAAAGATCTTCCACACTATCAACATTATCCCTTTATACTTAGTGACTTCAATCCAAAGAGACCCAAATGCAAAGGAAACAAAACTGGAAAACATGGCTTGAAATATAGATATCAAAGAAGCGAAAGGCTTGGAGATTACTCAAAAATGTGTATATCATAAATATTTCTTCCAAGAAGAGAGAAGGTTCTAGATGTGACAATTACCACAAAGAATTTTTAAAAGACTTTGCCTATCTTGATAGGAAACAATTATTTCAGAATTTCAGATAATTTCAGAATCAGAGATAAAAGACTTGAACTAATCAGAAGGTTAAATTCAATACAGAGAAAAAAGGAACAGACCTTGAATGCAAGATAACCACATACTCCAAATTAACCTGCTGAAAAGAGTTGTAGACTCCAAATATCAGGAAAGGGATACAAGACACATTAATATTTTTAGTTCCTGGAGAAGGCTCAGGAAGGTAAAATTAATTTTTGCAACAAAAATACCAAATGAATCTCACCCAATGAACTAAGCCAGCAAATTATCATAAAGTCAAAAGTCTCACTAATAAAAGTACTTAAACCATTCTGTCTTTTTTAATCAATAAAGAAAACAACTAAAATCTACATATTCACTTTGAAGTTTTACATTTAATTAACTTGACTTGTCTTATGTTCCTGACTTTCTGGTATATGCTTTTTTTTATAAAACGAAGATAAAATTTATAAAGAAATTTTAAAAACTGAATGAACTTTGAAATCGTTCAAAAATGTTAAAGTCAATTAATCTACAGTTATCTGAATAGTGACTAAATAATAATTTAAGATCTAATTAAGATGAAAAGGTGGTCCTCTGAAGAGAATTTTTAGGTGAATATTTAAAATAACACCATTAAAATACAATATTTAACATTTAGTATTAGTATAGTACAAAAGAATTGGCAAGTATTTTCATACATAAAAGGCATTTCCTTGTTGTTTTTCTAGTTTATTCTCCTGAAAATGTGAAACATCTACCACGGATCTAATACGTATTAATAAAAGGGCTAATTCATGAACCCCATATAATTTGGCTTATCTATGCTCAACTATGACCCATATCTATATTTTTTAATCATGCTTATATAATTCATCACTTTATACTTACATAGTTGTTAATTTCATTTTCTAAGATTAATATCTTTCATTTGTCCTTAAAAAATTGATTTTTAACAAGTCATCCAACATCTAAAGCTTCACATTAACATCTAACTCTAGCCCAACGTTATAATGTGTCCATCAAAATTCTCATACGCCTTTTGAGGCTGTTAGGTGGTATAGTGAATAAAGCACTGGGACTAGAGTCAGGAAGATCCATGTTCATATATCTGTACTCAGACACTTACTAGCTATCTGACCCTAGGCAAATCACTTAACCTGTTTGCCTCAGTTTCCTCAATTGTAAAATGGGGATAATAATAGCACCTAACTCCCAATGTTGCTATGAAGATCAAAGGAAATAATATTTGTAAATCCCTTAGCACAATGGCAGGCACACATAGTAGGCACTATATAAATACTTGCTACCATTAATGATAATAATAATAATAATAATAATGATAATGAGTTCTCTAAAATGTTTACCTAACAGAGCACAAGCATTAGTAGGTCCAGCTAAATTGTAAAGGCTCTATAACGCTTTTCTGTCTCTCATTTGAAAATCAGTCTAACAAAATTTTCACTGAGGTTCATTCTCAAAAAGTGGGCTACTAAGACATCTTTTTTTGTAGCCAAAAACAATTCAACTACTATATTCTGGAGTACAAAGGGGGAGATCTGCATTCCAGATTTGATTCTATCCAGAAGCAAATTCACTTCTTTAAGAAACATTTTTTAAGTGCCCTTTCAAAAGAAGCCACCTGGTAGAAAAATGAATTTACAGAAACAGCAAATTACAGTCACTAATTTTGAAAATGGGTAATTAGAATTGCAAAGAATCTTTTGCAGCTTCCAGGAAAATCTCCTATTTCCAAATACATGGCTTTAAAATATCTGATGTTATAATAACCTAAGAAAAAGACAAAGGAAAGCATAAGAAATCCTTTTTTAAAAGTCAAGAGATAATGGTATACAATGTAATTTTCATTATTAGTATTCAATGAAGGGAGGCTGGGAAGAGGAGAGAAAAGAAAAATAAAAATTTCTTACCATTGATCTTTCAGGATATCCAAACAAATGGCCCCAGTGACAGAACTAATATTAGGATGCCAAATTTTAGTAATAAACCGCACCTAGAATGTACATATATAAAGCATTACTTGAGATTTTTATAAACAGAAACACCCACTATAAAAAAAAGTGTGTATATATATATATATATATATATATATATATAAATTCAAATTGATGGTGTTGACCTTCAGGACCAAGTCAATGAGCCCAATAAGCTCTTCTACCCACATACTCATATTAACATCTTGATGGCATTTTAACTAGAAATTACAGTCATTAGAGGCAAGGAGCTAAAAAAGACTTTTACCAGTTTCCCCTCCTTTTACTTAATTCAACTCATCAAGTACTAAGCATCTACTAAGTAGGATACAGAAGTCCCTTGCCTGTAAATGCAGATGCAGGGAAAAAAAAAAAAGGTTTAATTAGGTGTCAAAATAACTGATACAAAGAAATGTCATGTGAGCAGCTAGGTGGTGCGGTGGATGGAGCAGTGGCCCTGGAGCCAGGAAAACCTGAGTTAAAATCCAGCCTCAGACACATGATATTCACTAGCTGTGTGACCCTGGGCAAGTCACTTAATCCCGATTGCCACAGACACAGACACAGACAGACAGACAGACAGACAGACAGACAGACAGACAGACACACACACACACACACACACACACACACACACACACACACACACACTTTCTCTCTCTCTCTCATCTGCCAGAACTTTGGTGATTTCAATTTAAGTGAGGAAATATACATAACAAGAAAAAGATTTGAGACAGATAGAAAGAATACAGGATGAGAACAAGATAGTCCTCCAACTCACAAACCTCTTCTTCCACTTTATCGTGTTTCACGTTTTACTGATATCTAATGTTTTCACACCATCAAATCAGACTCAATTTAACTATTTCCTTGCAAGAAATGAAAACAGTAAACCAAAAACAACAGAGACTAAGGTTGCAAACATATGCAACTCTCCCAAGCTCTATTAAGAAAAAGGATATTCATTTCATTATCTATTCTTTGGAACTTAGATGTCCATTACAATTAATAATTTGCCCTTTTGTTTTATTTGCCCTTACCCTGTATTAAACTGCTCTATCTTCTACTTTCTCCACTTAACATCAATATTTCTTAGAATTTCTTCAAGTCATTCCCCAATTGATAAATGGTCAAAGGATATGAACAGGCAGTTCTCAGATAAAGAAATTAAAGCCATCTATAGTCATATGAAAAAATGCTCTAAATCACTATTGATTAGAGAAATCCAAATCAAAACAACTCTGAGGTACCACACCACACCTATCAGATTGGCCAACATGACAAAACAGGAAAATGATAAATGTTGGAGAAGATGTGAGAAAATTGGAACACTAACTAATGCATTGTTGGTGGAGTTGTGAAATGATCCAACCACTTTGGAGAGCAATATGGAACTATGCCCAAAGGGCTATAAAACTGTGCATACTCTTTGAGCAAGCAATAGCACTTCTAGGGCTATATCCCAGGAGATCATACAAATGCAAAAAGGACCCACATGTACAAAAATATTTATAGCAACTCTTTTTGTGGTGGCAAAGAATTGGAAATTGATTGCTTCTAACTCTTACTTACAACATCACTAATGTGATAATATGTTTAATAGGAACGTATATGTATAGCCTACATCAGATTTCACGGCATCTTGGGGAGGGAGGTGGGGAGGGAGAGAAAAATTTAAAACTCAAAAGCTTATGGAAGTGATAGTTGATAAATCAAAATATATATATATATATTTAAGGCAATTGGGGTTAAGTGACTTGCCCAGGGTCACACAGCTAGTAAGTGTCAAGTGTTTGGTCTGAGGCCGCATTTGAACTCAGGTCCTCCGGACTTCAGGGTCAGTGCTCTATCTACTGTGCCACCTAGCCGCCCCAAAATAAATTAATTTTAAAAAAGAATTTCTTATATTTCACACTTCTTACAACATAAAAATATGCCATTACATTCACACATCACAATTTGTTAAGCAATCTTATCAATGGGCACTTATTTCCGTTTCCATTTTTTAGTGCTATTAAAAGTGCTGCTATAGACCCATATCCAATTTTTTGGTATAAACATTTACCCTTTGGTGGGGTAAAAAAGATAGGAATTATTCCCACTTATTACAACACCACTTCTCAGAAAAGACATCAAAGCAATAGTTTCAATTCTTATATTATTTTTCAAATGCTTCTGAAAAAAGCAATTCCAATTATTTCCAATTTACAGAAGAATGCACCAGTCTATGTCACTTGTGCCTCAAATTCAAGGTTCTTGAGAACAGCTAATTTAAATGAGTATAATGAACAGCACAATAGGTTTGCTTTAAGCAAAAAACATTTCTTAATGAGAACTTACATCCTGTCTTTAAAATTATTTTGTGAGACATAAAAGTCACTATTGACCTCACCTACTGCTTGCCACTAGAGCAGAACAGATCCTAAAATAACCATCCTTCTATAATTTAACTTTTTTTTAATAATTTTTTTTAAAGTAAAAATATTCCAGATCATATAAATAAAATAAAAATTCCAAATTTTCAGTGTAAGGAACAAAATACAGTGGTAGTTTTTTTTAATCTAATTGACAATTTTAGATTTTAAAAATATCACAGAAAGGTAAGAAATTTAAGGATACTCAAAATCTTAATATATCTAGTTTTTAAATAAGTGTAATATATGTCAGAATTTCAAGGCCCTGTATTAATCAACCAATAATAAATTCTAGTCTAACAGACATTGCATAATATATGGTTCCATGTTCTCCCCCAAATTTCACAGGGTCCTCTGTGATCAAATGTTAGATCATTTTATTTTGCAATTATTTATTGATAGATACCTGAACTAGTTTACTAGATTTGAAGAGGTCTCATTTCTTCTGTAGTTACTATTTTTCCTGTTGACTCATCTGTTTATGTTCAAGGTCTCTGAGATTTCTTTTTCCTGAAATCTTTCATTTTCAGTCTTATTTTCTTCATCACTCACTTCCTGATTCCCTCCCCTTCGATTGTGGTTTCCTTGGGGACTGGATTCAGTGTCTCAGCCTCCTTCCACACTGGGCAATTCATGGATCACTAACCTAGGGCTTTGCCCCAACTGACTTTTGGGTAACAAGAACTGGGTAGAGCCAGCTGGATGTAGTGTTTTTTCCTTCAGGCTTGGTCCTATGCCAAGCACAGCCCCCCAAACACATCCAGTCCTAGTAACATGTCCCATTCCCTCCATTCTTCAATTCCGTAGCCCTGCACCAGCAATTCAGAGCCTGTTTTCCTCTGAACTAACAGTTCAGAGGTTTTCAGCACTAGTTCTTCTGGTTTGTAGCCTCCAGCAGCCTAGAGCTGTAGTCTCCACAGATCTGGGAGGGGGGGAGGTTAGCAGGATGCATAAAGTGGGTTTTGATGTGAACCTGTTTCACATCCATGGGTCTATAACACAGTCTTGCTTGCCAGTAGTATGGGAGGTAGAAGAGGTCCTAAGTGACCCCAGGGTCAATTCCTGAGGTTTGGGGTTGCTGTTGTTTTCTTAGTTGTTTTTTTGTTTCTTAAAAACATTCTTTTAAAAAAATTAAAAATTTTTAAAAAAAAACATTCTTTTTTGATTCTAGACCATGGAAATGGCTGAAGCTGCTTTCTCTTATTTCTAATAAATTATTTCTCATAATTTCTATTTTGAGGTCAAGGGGACGAGGGAAAATGTCTAGTTCACCATCTTGTTGCTTATGTGACCCTGATGTCCAATATCACATAAAACATGATTTAATGAAGAAACGTTTTAGTAATTTAAAACACTGGCAGACGTAATCACAACTAAGTAGTATCAATAATGATTATTCAAATCACTATAATTTTTCCCCTTCCTTCCCTTTCCCTCCAGCTCATCATAACACTCAAATAGATTTGTGATCTCATCAATTTGGGAGTTTTCCCTAAAACTACATAGATCACAACTCTTATGCATGTCTTCCCATAAGTTCTGTGAAGGGAGTCCCACCCAACATGTTGAGGGATCTCCTCACTTTCTGCTGATAGAGCAAAGGAATCAGCAGAAAGCCTGGCTATCTTCTATCCCTCTTCAATATAACCAGCCCATCTTCTCTTCATCTTCAAGCCATCTTTTACTCTAGTGTTTCTTCAAAGCTCATCAGTTGTAGGCTGAAGCCTTCTCACACCTGCCATGTGTCTTCCCACTTCCATAAACATAACAGACATTTTTAATTTTTCAGAATCTCCTGTATTCCACATCTCATCGCTATACTGCAACGGCAGTAGAATATGGAACTGTTTCATTTCTGGTGCTATTTCCCTGGCACAAAGCTTGCATACAGCAAGCATTTAATAAATGCTTGTTGACTGACAATTGGAAAATTTTAAATGGTGCTTGGCTTCATGGTAAATTTTCCAATTTCCAGAAGTAAATCCAACCCACTATCTCCTTCAACTCAGGTCATATTCTTTTGTGATGATAGACTGCTTTGTAAAAAATTTGGGGGCAGCTAGGTGGAGCAGTGGAAAGAGCACCAGGCCTGGATTCAGGAGTACCTGAGTTCAAATCCGGCCTCACACACATAACACTTACTATCTGTGTGACCCTGGGCAAGTCACTTAACCCCATTGCCTCGCCAAAAAAAAAAATTAAAATTTGGCGACGTTCCAGGACTCAATGCAAGCAGCACATCGTTAATTGCAAATAAGAACATCTGAAAAATCTCAATCCCTCTTCAACCAATACTCTACAGCAAATCTCTATCACACAATGAACATGTATCATGGATACATATTTCTATCCTTTATACCTCACCTGATGTTTATGATGAAATTGATCACTAAATAGTTATTTCTGTTAGGAGCTGAAAGGAATCTTTACTTCAGTCAATTGCAAAGTAGTAAAAAAAAAAAATCTATCTATCTATCTATATCTACATATATATATATATGTATATATAGTCCATTGTTGAATATCACGTGATTTAAAACTACTTGCTCACTACTAATGGTAATAAAGGAGCCTGTCTCATGCACAGCTGACTGAATGACTTTAGA